TGGACCTTTTGTGTGATGTTTACTTTATGTAATCATCACATATTTAGAAGTTAACATTTGATCTGTTTTGCCAGGAAAGTCCTTGACACAGTGGCTATTACATCAGGACTTGGGACACCATCTGGTGGCCACTCACATGCATTACAGAGAAGAGATCCTCACCCACTCTCCAACCACCCCAACATAATACCGTAGTTACCGTAGTTACCGTAGTGGAGACAAACAGATATCCCCCATCTCCATCTCCATAAAATACACAGACACGCAAAATCTTCTCTTGACCTTATTTCTCTTTTCTTTTACTATTTAATGCTTTTAACAGGTAACCTACACCCCGCTGACCCCATTTCGTCACTGCCACTTCTGCCTCTGTTGACCCAGGTCATCCAGGCAGTCACACTCCAGGAAGCAGTGGACTGTGATGTGATGTCGCTCTCCCTCCACATCAGCTTTGTTCCAAAACGCCCAGCCACTGGCTTCCAATGCCTCTGCCCTCCTGACCTTGCTCTCCTGAAGCTTGGCAACGTTTTCCCCGTCGCCATACCCAACGGTTCATCATCACGCTGCTTGAACTTTTGTTCTGGAGTGCCTGGTACTGTGGACAACCTTGAAGCTCCTTCATTTCCTCTCATCTCTAGGATGAGGAGCAATCTCTCACATCTACATTTGTGTGCCTTAGTCTCATTTTCGGATTGTGCTACAGTTAGAACAAGAAGCTGCTTCGTATGAGCTACGTGGACTCCACGCGACTGTTGTTCTATGTATCCTGTTGCTTTAACGGGGGATATTTAGGAGGTTGCCAGTACCTCTTGGCACACCCTGACCCAGAGAGAGTTATTTTCCGAGTTGTTTGGCCGGTGCTGAATACCCAAGGTACCAACAGTTTCCAAGCAGAGCCTACGATCATCAGATAAATTCCCGCCATCACCCCAAAAACACCGTCAACCCCCTTCCTTGGTCTCTCTTGGTAATGGACCCCCCTGCTTAGCGTGCATGGGGTGTGGAGTTTTGGGTAATTAACTGGTGGGCTGGGGCCTGAGCTGGGAACAAATTAGAAAAGACTGTGCAGTGTGGAGGAGGCTCTGATCCTACAAACTTTTGTACAGACTCACTCCTTTGAACCTGGCTTAGAAATTGTACCGCTGAGTCCCCATTTGCTGGTCTATGCTGTGAGGCTGGAAATATCTCCCAGCATCCTCCACGGGCTTGGTTTTCACAGTGTTACCTGGTGATGCCATGGAGGCCATGAATGCTAAGTGGGGGTGTGCAATATCAGTTTCGGGACCACCCTTAACTCCACCCTCCACTCCCCAAACAGGGAAGCTACACTGGGGAGCCTCGGATCAATAGACTCCTCTCTCCCTTTGATCTTAGATCACAGCCTTCCTTGGTCACCTTAGCAGATGGAAACAACTTTCTGAGTTTAGCTTCTTGGATCAAGATTGGTGCAAGGGCTAAACAAAAACCTTGCCTGGGTTGTTCCTGCGTCAGGCCCTAGCAAGTACGAAATCGAGAGGAGTCACCCCATATAGGCAAAGAATGGGGTGAGTGGGCAGAACACAGTCATAGTGAAGGTCAAACTCCTGGCCCAGTTGTCCAAGACCCTTCGCCATCAAGCTTGTTTGCCCATCAAAGCTTCCACTTTTTTCAAAGTTGCAAATAGATAGGGATTCTTCACAGAACAGCTGACTGTGAAGATCCAGGACACATGAAAATCACTACATCTGCCATCAAGCAGCACTGGTATTAGCAACACACTGATAGACAGGTCCATGCTGAGGGTCATGTGGGTACTTGAGCCTGGGGGAGGCAGGCAGCAGCCACATCTGACTCAGTTTCCTCTTACAAGGGGAACACCAAGATTCCACGGAATCCACAGAGTGGAATCAGGGCCCGGCCCCAACGGCAATGCAGTCTCCAAATGAGACTCGGTCAGGTTTGGTTCTCCAGCATCTACGATTAATATCAACTCACGGTGGACAGTTTGACCTACGTCATACCCTGAAGCAAACACCAGGCACACCGCTCTCCACAGCCTGCTTTCTCTTACACTTCCCTCCTCACTGGGGGTCCCATGTGCAGTGCCTTCCTACTCCCCATCTCCAGGATCCTGGACTCCAGAGAGACGGGAGGAATTGGAAACTCATGGCTGTGGGCCTCAGCAGGGCCTGGGTAGGAAGGTGAAGCACAGCTTTCAGGTGAATAGACAAAAGGAGGAGAGGACATAACAAGGGAGGCTGGAATCCCTGGCCACCGGGAATGCAGGAGCAGAGACGTGGAAGGTGAGAAGCAATGTGGCTAGAAAGCCAAGAGGAAAATACTGGGGAGAAGGAACCCACTGGGCAGGCCTCCATGCAGGCAGAGGAGATGTGAGTTCTTGGAATGACAGTTCAGTGCCACCACAAGACATATGCTGCTCTGAACAAGTGCAATGACCCCACGGAAATGCCTGCGGGATGAGGTCTGCAGCTTTGCAGAGCCACCAGGCTAGTGGGGGCGAAGTGAGATGAGGCCCTTTCATAACACCCTTTCAGCACCCTAGTGATAGTCACCCTAACAGGACCAATCCGGGCCTTATGGGCTGTGGCAGGGACTTCTAGGCATCTACTCAATATCCACTGAGTGAGACACTGGGCATTGTACCCAGTTGATGAGTCAATTTCTCAGCCTCCCTTGCAGAATGTTTTAGGTGCAACTCCCCTCACCTCCTTCTTTCTGTTAACTGGAATGTGCACACGATGGCCAGCGCTCCAGCAGCCATCCTAGACCATGAAGCAACCTTGAAGATGGTGCCTCTTGCTAAGGATGGTGGAGCGGAAGGATGAGAGAAGGCTGGTCTAGGATGTTCATGGGACCACCATGCCGATGCTGGCCTGCCTTCTTACAGATTGTGTGGTGTGTGTGTCTGTGTGTGTGTAAGAGAAAACTAGCCCCTATGAGTTTAAGGCATTGTTGTTTGGGGCTTTCTGCTATAGGCAGCCAGCTCAGTCCTAACTGATCACACCCTGTGATTTCTGGAACACCGGCCTCTACTCTTTTCCCTAAACCTCCCCCACCTACTAGTCAATGATGTTTGACATCCTTCAAGAGGTCTAACCTTTCATTCCATAACCAGAGACAAAAAGTATAAAACGCAAATGTCTGTGATCAGTAATGTCCCAAGAGAAATGTCTCACCACTGAAGAACATTCTGAATTCACCTGCCACCTGTTCATAAGCAAAACTGACCTAACCCAGGTTTGTTCCTCATTTGATAGGAGATCAAAGGGTATGAAGCCATATTAAGCATCCCAAAGGGAAAGGGGCAGGAGAAATTCCCCAAAGGGGGAATGTTTATAAAAAGACAGGCTGGGTAACCCAGGGTCATGCAGCCATCTGTCAGGCCTCTTGGTAGAAACACAGATTTATGCAAATGTGAAAAGGATATGATATGCCTTTTGGTATCAAAGAGATATGGGTTCAAGTGGTAGAGCTCTTGTCAGCTCTGTGACTGGGAGCAAGTTACATAAATGTCGAGCCCTCAGTTTCAGCATCTGAAAAATGGGAATAATAGTAACTACCCATGGAGGTGTTCTGAGGGTTAGATGGGACGAACCTGTGACAGTGCTTCATATGCCGTAGACAACCCTGGCATCATTGCTGTCCTCCTCATCATCATCTCAATGATAATTATAATCCTGCTTTTGACCAGGAGGCTCAGAGAGTCTAAGGAACTTGTCCAAGATCATCAGCTAATAAGTGGCGAAGTACAGGTCTTTGTCATACGAGGGTTCATGTTGCCTCTTTCATACTTCACTTTGTATCTTGAACAAGAAATACTGAACTTGGTTTTCTCAAAATCATTTCCCATTTTATAATGAGAAGAATATGACTTTTCCTTCTTCCCTTACAGGCGAGACGCGATCCTTGAAGTTTGTGTGCTTTGAAAATTGCAGAGTGGTTTGCACGTAAGATGCCCAGTGTCATCCCCCAGCTTTACAGATACATTCTTTGCAGGAAAGTATTGTGGTCGGCACAGCTATGCAGGCATGGAGTAAATATTCAATAAACATGTGGGCTGACCCCAAGAGGGCTGTGGTGGGCCAGACCCGGAGGCACTGACGTGAGATTTCCTGCTACCTCCAGAATCGAGGCACTGGACGATCATATGGGGGTGGAGTCAGGAAGCAGGGGGAGGCCCCTAGCCTTGATAACAGGCCCACTTCCTCTGCCACCCAGCCACATCAAAGCAGGATAAACTGTTTCATTCATTTCCATGGCAACTGGGTCCCTAAGACTTCACGGGTGGGGGCCTCACCTCCCCGCGTCCCTTCTCATTTCTTCCTGTGACTTTACCAGGACCTACCTTCTAAGCTAACACCACTGCAACCCGTACTGCCCCCAGCACTGTGAAATCAATTAGGCCAACATTAATCCTCACGAACTGTATTGACAGGGAGTCATTGCTATACACCCATTTTACAGATGAGGAAATTGAAGCTCACAAGCTAAATGTCTTGCTTGAGGCCCACAGTTAGTGAGTAGCAGACCCAGGATTTGCAAGTACAACGATCTGGCCCCAAGGACTAGAAGCCACTAAGTTATTCGGTCTCTCCTTCAAGCGTTCAAGTTCTCTGGCCTCCATCCTAGTCCTCTCTCCACTTAACTGGGGGTGGGAGGGACTCAGGAATTGAGTACAAAGATGACTGCAGGCCTGTTAAAAATCATAGGAAAGGCCGGGCACGGTGGCTCACGCCTGTAATCCCAGCACTTTGGGAGGCCGAGGTGGGCGGCTCATGAGGTTAGGAGTTCGAGACCTGCCCAGCCAATATGGTGAAACCCCGTCTCTACAAAAAATACAAAAATAAGCCGGGCATGGTGGCACATGCCTGTAGTCCCAGTTACTGGGGAGGCTGAGGCAGAAGAATCTCTTGAACCCAGGAGGCGGAGGTTGCAGTGAGCCGAGGTCACGCCACTGCACTCCAGCCTGGGTGACAGAGCGAGACTCCGTCTCAAAAAAAAAAAAAAAAAAAATCATACGAAAGCATTTTTCAAAAAGCTCATTTAAGGGTCATGTAGAAGGTAATTTTGTTTAACTATTTGTTATGGATTAGGGCTTAGCTTCTTTAAAATTGAAGGTTAACTGGTGGATGTGAGATAAGTAGCAAGGGATTTCTGTTCAGTAGAAAAGATAACCTCAAAGATTATGGTTTTCTTCCCCTCTGTGATATTAACTGTTTGGTATCTAACTTTGAATCTTACTCTAGTTTCCTTGAGGAGCTCATCTCAGTTTCTTGTATTCTCCTATAAGCCAGCTGTATCATCGTGCTGCTCTCTTCATGAATGAGTGGGCACAGGCTCACTATACATTTATATATGTGTGAGGTTTTGGAACTGTTTGAAAATGATTCCCAGAAACGAGGGAGAGTTGATCGTTTCCTATTTTGGTTCTGCTTTCCCTGGAAGAGGAGAGGTTCCTACCATGGGTACTTGGCTTGAGCTGCCCTCTTGGGGCATCTGACTTCTCATTGGTCACCAGGATATCTGAGGCTTCACATGGTCCCGGGAAGGATGTGCCGTCAGCAGTGAGTGATGGTTCCAAGGATCCCCCCTGCTCTGAGGCCAAAGGACCCTCATTCTACTTCCGGCTCCAGTCGCTGCCCTGCCTGGTCCTTGTGCTGCAGACTTTACATTTTATCATTCCAGGAACTGGGCCTCACCACCGCCAACCCCTCCATGGCACATCTGCTTTCTGTCTGCCCAGAACAGAGTTTCTACCCAGCCGCCTGCAAAAACATCTCAAGGCATAGCGTGCATTGAGGTGAGGAGGGACAGCTGGTTCTACTTGAAATTGGGAAGTGGTCTGCCCACAGGTAATCCCCTCCCCCACCCCTACAACTCCCTTATCCTTTTCAAAATAAAAAAGAATCATTTCAGTCTTGGGTAGAAACCCAAGGCCCTGCCAAGACATTTGCATTTTAAATTCTTTCTCTGAGCATTGTAGAAAGGAAGAAAAGAAGCTCAGAAGACATCCAAGTCTGTTTGTTCTGGGGGACAGTGGGAGAGAATGAAGGAGTGTGACCTTAAACTGGCTTGTTCCTTTAGAGTTTGTTCCTTTAACTGGTTTGTTCCTTTCCTTGGGAAGCTGGCTTGGCAGACCCACCTTTTACCTTTCAGAGTCCAGCGTCTCCTAAGGGTCTTCCTGACGTCCTAAGTCTCCACCCAAGTCTCTACCACAAGGTGAGGACCTGGTTGTAGGTAGACTTGGGGGTTGGCCATTCCTAGCTGTACCTGCTCTGCTCTTTGTAACGACAGACAACAGCAGACGGCTGACCGACTGGGGACATGCAGATCAGCTGATTGGACGAGGCACAGACAGGTCAGCTGACTGCGTAGGGCGCAGACAGATCAGGTAACTGGTTGGGTTAGGCAAGTTACGAACCCTTCCAAAGAAATGTACAAGCCAGTCTTGAGCTTTCTAGGGTCCATAAGTTGTTGGGGAATAAGATTTGGTACTTCCATGCTGTGTGTGTTTAATGTGTAAGGTGAGAATGAAACACTGCCAGTACTAAACCTGGTCTGGTGCATGTATCCATTAGCAAGAGAGAAAATAAAAATGAGATTATAACATACTTAGTACTGGGGGGACTGCTTTTTCGCTCGACTAGTTACTCAACATCTTTTGAGCTCAGTAACTATTTCTACAATATCGTTTTTAATAATTGAATTACATTTCACCAAATGACTTTGCCACAGGGTTCTCAACCATGTTCAATATTTAGGTTTTTTAGCATTGGTTGATTATTAGCAAGAATGCATTGATGAACATCTTTGTAGCTGAATCTTTGTACATCCATAGGGATTCATCAGGATAAAATTCAGGAATAGACTGGCTGGGTGAAAGGATATTTTTTCTGATTCCTTAGCAAACACAGCCCCCCATTCCTCACCAGCGCTGGCATTTTTGTTCTTTCTTTTTTATTTTTGCCAATTTGATAGGGGGAAAAATAGTTTTGCTCTTTAGTTTTGCATTTTCTGTATGAGTAGTGAAGGTGAATATTTTGAGGGGGTTCTTTTTTGATGTCATTGAATCATATTTATTCATATTTCCATAAGTGTGCTTGCCTATTTTTTAATGGACTCAAAAAAAAAAAAACTCTTCATGGGTTTGATATATTAATTTTTTTTTTTTAGACAGAGTCTCGCTGTGTCACCTGGCTGGAGTGCAGTGGCACAATCTCAGCTCACTGCAACCTCTGCCTCCCGGATTCAAGCAATTCTCTGCCTCAGCCTCCCGAGTAGCTGGGAATACAGGTGTACACCACCACGCCCAGCTAATTTTTGTATTTTCAGTAGAGACGGGGTTTCACCATGTTGGCCAGGATGGTCTTGATCTCCAGACCTCATGATCCGCCCACCTCGGCCTGCCAAAGTACTGGGATTACAGGTCTGAGCCACAGCACCCAGCCTGTTATATTAATTTTTATCGCAAATATTTTTCTCAGTTTGTCATTTACCTTTCACTCAAAGTGGGCTTGCCGTATGAAAAGCTTTAAATTTTTTGCTTTCATATCTGTTAGTCTTTTCCTTTATAATTTTTGCCCTGGGGAATATGTTTGGCAGCTCTTCTCCACTCCAGGCTCATACAACCTATTTTTCTTCTGTAGTTTTTGTGGTCTTGTCTTCTACACCTAAACCGCTAATGTATCTAAAAGTTATTTTTATGTTTGAGTTAGAACTCTTAATTTTATTTTTTAGATAGAAATCTTTTTTTTTTTTGAGACAGAGTTTTGCTCTTGTTGCCCAGGCTGGAGTGCAACGGCACAATCTGGGAGGCACTTGAACCTCCGCCTCCTGGGTTCAAGCAATTCTCCTGCCTCAGCCTCCTGAGTAGCTGGGATTACAGGATCATGCCACCAAGCCCAGCTAATTTTCTATTGTTAGTAGAGATGGGGTTTCACCATGTTGGCCAGGCTGGTCTCGAACTCCTGACCTCAGGTGATCTGCCCGCCTCGGCCTCCCAAAGTGCTGGGATTACAGGTGTGAGCCACCGCACCTGGCCTGTTTAGATAGTTTTCTCACTCAATTTTTTTTATGGTCTACCAATTATCCTGATACCATTTATGAAATGACTGATTTTTTCATCAGTAATTTGATGATGCCACTTTATCATATAATATAATTTTGTATATTTAATCTGTTTCTAGATATTACATTTTCTTCCATTATCTACCTATTCTTATACCCATAGTGTACTATTTTAATAACTATAGCCCTATAATACCTTCAAAAAATGGAAATATTTCCTTCTTACTCTCCTTTAAAAATACGTGAATGAATATATACTAAGTGCATAAATAAATCTTTCAAATAGATTTTATTTATTTGCTTTATTTTATTTATATATAAATTTATTCATATGTAAAACATTTATATATTATTTTTTATTTCCATATATTTTATAAATTTTAAAAATATCTTGTTACTTCGATTGTGGTTATGTTTATTTTCCTAACACCTGGTCTCGTTACAATATTGATTCAACCCAGCAATACGATTCTTCAATTATTCATTCTTCAGCAAAGTTTGTTTTCTCTATATAGGTTATTAAAATTTTATTTTTTATTTTTAATTGCTATTGTAAATTTTTTTAAATTATGTTTTCTTCCTGGTTAATGCTGGTTTATAAAAAAGCTCTTAGCTACCTGTTTTCTAGTTCTGACAGTTCTTCGTTCAGGGGATTCTCTCAGTCTTGACAGAAAACCAATTGTTTGAGCTCCAACTAATTAAAATTTCTCGTCTTCAGAAGAGAAAGCATTCTTTATTTTTGTCTTTTTGCATAGGCAAAATACCGATAAGCCAAAAGAGGAAGATTATTGGCTCTAAAGAAGATGCCTCTAGTATTTTACCTTGGGCTGTTGCCATATTAAAAGCACTTCTAGAGTAATCGTTTCCATATATTGAGGGGTTTTGAATATCAGGAATGGTGATGAATTTTATGAAATATTTTAGAGGCATCTATTGAGGTGCTTTTGTGAATTTATTCCTTTGAGTACTGATTCACTGAGCCACTTCTCAGTAAATCACACTTGATAATGTTTTCTCCTGCACTATCATAGCTTCCTTAGACCTGATTTTCATGTTTATGACAGCACCTGCAATTTCTGAACTCCTACTTTTCAGACCCCGCACATGCATGAAAACTGAGTCCCGGGTCTTGTCCACACTTGTCACAGTGGCCATCATTCCTAGCACCAGCCACCTTCCCTGACCCAAACTGCATCAACCCACACACGGAATTACTTACTTGTTCCTGGGGCACAGAGAACATGCAAAGGCCTCTTGTCAGCATCCTGGGGGCTTCTCTGTCTGACCTGGGCAGCCTTGGGGACCCCTTGACTAACCAGATCAGAGGCACAGGCCAAGGGCTGGGGTCTCCTTGCCTTGAGTGCTCGCTCCTGCTTCCCCTAAGAATCCCTCCTCGAGTTACCTCCCTTGTTTACTTTCATCTCGTGTGGATTCAACCATCAGATGCTTGATGGTGCTGTGAAGAGGAGACTCCATGGTTGTGAACCAAGGCATGGGCAGAGATGCACCAAAGGATGGAAGGTAAGGAGGGTCACAAAGAACAGTTTCAGAGGAGTTGGAAGCATTCTGACCTTGTGAACCCTGCCCCCCGTGCCAGCTGCCTCAATGCTTACCTGGGGCCTTGAGTTCAGCATCGATGAAGGTGAGCAGCTCCTGGCAGATGCTGCAGTAAGGAACAGGCCAGGTCAGGAACCGGTGGTAGGTGCTGGCTGCCTTCAGAAGAAGATCCGAGTCTGGTGGGAAGTGTGGTGTCTAGGATGGAGGCAGGCAACAAGCAAAGAGATCTAGGTGAGAAAAGGCTCAGATAGTCCCAAACAGCCTCTGCTCCCTTTCTGGAATATTCCACAAAAGACACACATTTCCTGGCAGCAGTGTGTCCCAGGACAAGGTCAGGTGGAACTGGAAGTTACCCACAGGGAGTGAGTTTCAGATGGGCAAGATGGCACCCGGGGTGTCTCCACTGGAAGGGACTTGCTTTACCCAATGCTTGAGTGAGCCTCTCTGAAAGGCTGTCCCCTTACTGGTCAATGGTGCCATTGCTGACAATTGCTATGGATAGTGGTCTTCAATGCCTAAACCACCTTTATTTAAATAGTCTCATTACAGGTAAATGTTTATTTTTTGAGGGTGGATTCAATGGTCTTCAGTGTTATGTTATGGATAACAGTCTTCAATGCCTAAACCACCTTTATTTAATTAGTCTCATTACAGGTAAATGTTTATTTTTTGAGGATGGATTCAGTCAGTGTACATATTTGGTGCCCCCTGTCTGGTGAATACAGCAGGTGATCACATTGGGTGACAGACCACTGGGGTGAAGAATGAGGTGGACATAGAATATCTCTTGTGGCTTGTGAACAGACAGTGGCAGCAGTTCCTCCATGGGAGCCCAGAGATGCCAGGCACTATGGCGGCCACATGGAGTCACTGGAAGCCTTTCATGGTGGCTGCTCTGAAGCCATCTAAAGGTTGAAACCCATTTCACATGCCGCTGCTTGACAGTTTCTCTCTCTGCTTTTCTCCAGAGGTGTGAGGGCTCTGCCCCAGAGAGAGGTCACTCCTCCCCCTCCTCCCTCACCTCCCGCATCCTGGCCCACCTGGACTTACACAAAGAACAGTGGAATAGAAGAGCAGGGCCAGGGGGGTGAGCAGGTCGTAGGTGCCCTTCTCCTGGACCTGTGGAGAGGACGAGAAAGGGAACGAGACTCATTCACGGGGTCCAGGGCTCCCTGAAGCGGAATACAGTGGTTCTTCCTCATTCTAGCCTTGCTTTTTTTTTTTTAAGTGAAAAGTAGTGTAATCACATGACAAATATTTGGAAAATAGACGTAAACAAAAACACTCACAATTTCCCCTCCCAAACCCAACCACAGCTGTTTGAATGTCCCTCTCCTGACACCATTTTTGCCCTGTGTATTTTCTTTTCTTTTAAATTTTATTTTAAGTTCTGGGATACATGTGCAGAACGTGCAGGTTTGTTACATAGGTATATGTGTGCCATGGTGGTTGGCTGCACCCAACAACCCATCATCTAGGTTTTAAGCCCTGCATGCATTAGGTATTTGTCCTAACGCTCTCCCTCCCCTTGTCCCCCAACCTCCGACAGGCCCCGGTGTGTGATGTTCCCCTCCCTGTGTCCATGAGTTCTCATTGTCCAAATCCCACTTATGAGTGAGAACATGTGGTGTTTGGTTTTCTGTTCCTGTGTCTGCGAAGCTATAAGCTGTGTGTATATTTTTACTCCTAATGTATTTTACATATAGTATTATAAGTAAATTTCTGTTTTACTATAGGGTCTCTAAGACCCCCTTTTTTCCCTTCTTGTTATACATTTACCTGTTATTTGTGTTATAAATATTTTTTTTGCAGTTGGTTGTTTGCCTTTTAATTTTATAAATATTTTTCGTGTACAGAAATTACAGGTGTCGATTTTTCCTTCATGGATTTTCGCTTTTGCATGCAAGGATCATGTAAATATTCATATTCATATATACTTTCTTATTTTCTTTGAAACTTCATTTTCTGAAATGGAAATATTTAGGCTGGGCGCAGTGGCTCATGCCCATAATCTCAACACTTTCAGAGGCCGAGGCAGGTGGATCACTTGAGGCCAGGAGTTCGAGACCAGCCTGACCAACATGGCGAAACCCCGTCTCTACTAAAAATACAAAAATTAGTCAGGGGTGGTGGCACACGCCTGTAATCCCAACTACTCGGGAGGCTGAGACTCTGCCTCAAAAAAAAAAAAAGAAAAAAAAGGAGACATATTTCATGTAACTAGAATTTCACCTGCTGTATGGTGTCAGTTGGGGATCTCACTCTATCTTTTTCCAAATGTTTAGTCAAATTTCCCTAAACCATTTAACAAATCTTACTGATGTAATTGTATCATATATTAAATTTTGTTTATGCCCTTGGATAATATCCATCATTTTTAGCTGCATTATACTCCTTCTGATAGACCTCCATAACTTATTACTTTCTTAGTTTTTTTTTTTTTTTTTTTTTTTTTTTTGAGATGGAGTCTCACTCTGTCGCCAGGCTGGAGGGCAGTGATGCAATATTGGCTCACTGCAACCTGTGCCTCCTGGGTTCAACCAATTCTCGTGCCTCAGCCTCCCAAGTAGCTGGGATTACAGGCGCCCACCACCAAGCCCAGCTAATTTTTGTAATTTTTTTTAGTAGAGATGGGGTTTCACCATGTTGTCCAGGATGGTCTTGATCTCTGGACCTCATGATCCGCCTGCCTTGCCTTCCCAATGTACTGGGATTACAGGCGTGAGCCACCGTGCCCAGCATCTTATTAGTTTCATTGTGGGCATTCAAGATTATTGTCTTGGTATTTTACATATTTTGCAATGAACACTATTATGCAGCACACTCCTTTTTCTAGAATTTTGGTTATTTATCTAGAAAAGAGTTCAAGAAGTGTAGTCAACAAAGATTGTCAACATGTTTATAGACTTTTATGACCTTTGAGACATATTGTCATATTGCTTTCCAAAAGGATTTTGCCATTTATGCTATCTCTATATATAAAAGTACCAGTTTCACCATGCTCTTCCTGCATTGGTTTTTATCTTTTTTTTTTTTAACAAAGAGAGAGAGAGAGAGAGAGAAATAGGGTATTGCACAGGCTGGAGTGCAGTGGTGCGATCTTGGCTCAATGCAGCCTTGACCTCCTGGGCTCAAGCAATCCTGCCTCAGCCTCCCAAGTAGCTGAGATTACAGGTGCACACCACCACAACCGGCTACTTTTTGTATTTTTTTGTAGAGACGAGGTCTTGCTATGTTGCCTAGGCTGGTCTTGAACTCCTGGGCTCAAGCATTTCTCCCACCTGAGTCTCTCAAAGTGCTTGGATTACAGGCACAAGCCACTGTACCTGGCCTTTTACCTTTTGTTTTTTAGCTAATTTGTTAGGCAAAGTTTGTCTCATTATGGTTTTCATTTGCATTCATTTTATTATCGCTTTTTTCATATTAGTTTACAACTTCTATTTATCCCTTTGTGAACTGCCTCTCTGATACACCTACCACACCTAACACACCACATGCACACATGTGCACACCACATGATTTAGAATTCATTGGTCAGAAGGTTTCTCGGTCCATTTTGGAACTCGTGGGGGTTGGAGATACAGAGAAAGCCCCATCATGTCTTCTGTGCTAGATGAGCTCAGTAGGCTCAAATTGAGACTTCTCCTTCTCTTTACCCTTAATAGACAATGTGTCTACCAAGCCTTGCAGATCAGACCTTTCTATGAAACACTTCTGTATTGCTACATGGTGGTCTAGACTTTCCATGTGGGTTTATATGTTATGCACTCCAGAGGCGGTTCAGCTCTTCTGAGCTGGTTGGCTTATGATGTGGGTTAAAAAGTACCAGGTAAATAGTGGGGTCAGAACTGTGTAACCTTGGGCATCTTCTTACAGGGATAGGTAACTGAGAGTGAAAGTGACATGTTTTCCAAATCACATGTATTTAAAATAATTAAAACACACACACACACACACACACACACACACACACACACCCCACAAAAGAGAATTCTTTATAAAAGAGAATTCTTTATACAAATCCTCTTCTGGGACTCACAGCTATTCTGGAACCCAAGCCCAGCTCAGCACTAAACACATTCCTCTTCTGTGTCATGAAAGCCATTGATTGAACAATAAGAGGAGGCCTCAGTTTACCTTTCCGATCAGTTTTCTCTTTCGTGTCTCTGTTTTTATGGATCTTTTTGAGGAAAGGAATTGGGTAAAGTGTCTTCTCTCTCCCTAGTCAATACCTGGCCTTACCAGCCATGTCTGTAGCTGAACTCAGGACCCTAGCTCGCGTATTATGTGTTCTTACAGAATGCACCCCTTCCTAGAAACCCCTCACGTGCAAGCACTGCCGAAACACAAAACTCACAGGTTCCCAGGGCCTTTGCCAAGCCCCTCTGGAGGTCCAGGCACCCAGGAATGATGTTCTCTGGGACCCATTTCTCTACTCTACGAGGCCGACCCCAGCTCTGCCCTTCAGCTCCTGACTCGCCCTCACCTCTCGGGTCTTCTGCAGGATCTGCTCAAGGAGGATAAGGAAGTGGCCCGGGTCTCTGCTGACCAGCTCCTGCAGGCTCCAGCAGTTCAGACACAGCCCAGCTTGAAAAGGAGAGAGAGGCAAGGGGGTCAGTTCTGGTGTTTTCCGGCCACACTCAGGTAGGGGTTGTAGAGAAGGGGCATTTATGCTGGAACATTCTTCTGCGGTATTGCACCGGAACACTCCTTTTTTTTTTTTTTTTTTTTTTTGAGACAGAGTCTTGCTCTATCGCCCAGGTTGGAGTGCAGCGGCGCAATCTCAGTTCACTGCAACCTCTGCCTCCCGGGTTCAAGCGATTCCCCTACCTCAGCCTCCCAAGTAGCTGGGATTACAGGCACGCGCAACCACGCCCGGCTTATTTTTGTATTTTAGTAGAGATGGGGTTTCAACATGTTGGCCAAGATGGTCTCGATCTCCTGACCTCATGATCCGCCCGCCTTGGCCTCCCAAAGTGCTAGGATTATAGGCATGAGCCACTGCACGGGGCCTGGAACACTCCTTTCTAAAGTAAGTGAATGTAGGAGAAGATGCTGGATCAACACTCAACCCTACCATGCCCCATCAAGACATAATGACAAGTTCCCTGTTCCTGCATATGCAAGAGACACAGGGATTGGAGATGTGGGCTGGGATCCACGTTGGAGGATAATGAGCTCACCACGACTCTGCTCCCTGTGGGAACACCAGTTCTTCCACAACCTCCTCTGCCCTGGTTTCCTACAGTGGGTTCTGGTACCTATGAGTTGCAGGGAGGTTAGAACAGAGGCAGAAATTGCTGGAAGAATACAGAGAGGAGCCACGGTGAGTTCCATCCCAAGACACAAGACTGAGTCTACAGCAGCCGTGGAGCTTCCCAGGAGTGGCAATGGAGCCCAGGAAGGGGAAGCTAAATAAGTTCTATTTTAAAAGCTGCCATGAGCACTGTGTCACTCTGTAACTTCCCCAGACTTTCTTATTTTGTCAATCTCTGTTTCCCTGCAGTCAGCAAGGGTAAACCCCTAAAAATTAAAGGGACGGCCCGGGGCGGAAGAGCAGGGAGGGGCTGTGTGTATGTGTGTGTGGGGTGGGGAGTGAGAGCCCCAGGAGTGGAAATGGATTGAACTTGAACTTCGTGGAGCTCAGGCTCCAGGACCTCTCACGTGTACAGGCTCCCTCCAAAGTTCTGGAGGCTTCTAATAATGTGTCCATGTGGTCACAGGTTGTCAGATAATTTGCAAAGATCAGATATTTTTATATTCTTTTGCTTAATGATATCCCTCTCCCCAGCCCTATGAGCTTAGCCTCCATCAAAACCTGGGTAGGAGGCAAGAAAGAAAACTACCATTTATTGACCACCTACTATGTGCCAATACAGTGCTAGGCCTCTGAATACATTATCTTCATTGAGGCTCCCACTGACCCTTCAGGAAAGTGGTTCCATTGTTATTATTCCCATTTTGCAGACAAGGCAAGTAGGGCCAGGGTTCTGGGAGGGTGAGTGGCTTGCGTAGGGTTGTAAAGCCAATGGGAGATAGCTTTAATCCAGGTCTG